CAACCACCAAGGACTGTGCGCATCATAAAAGACATAAAAGAAACGGCGTGTGCACTTGGTCCTGAAACCTGTAGAAACTTTCTGTTTGTACATGCCATTTTAGGGTGCGATACGACATCTGCGTTGTATGGCCTTGGGAAAGGGCAAGCCCTTAGAAAGTTGGCAAGTGACGACCGCTTCGGTAATCAAGCAGGGATCTTCGATAAAGCAGATGCTTCAAAAGATGAAATTATCGCAGCTGGCGAAAAATCTCTTGTTCTCCTGTACAAAGGTCAGTCCGATGATACTTTGGATTCACTGCGTTATGCGAAATTTTGTCAAAAGATCTCTACAGGCAACTCTTTTGTGCAACCTGAATGCCTCCCACCGACATCAGCAGCCACCAGTTATCACAGCCTGAGGGTATATCATCAAGTTCAGGGATGGAAAGGGGTGGCGCTTCCTGCTGAAAACTGGGGTTGGAAGCTAGAATATGACAGATTGTTACCTGTGAGAACAAGYCTTCCAGCAGCTCATGCGTCTTTGCTAGAGATGGGAAGGTGTGGATGCAAGACAGACTGCAGCACCCAAAAGWGGTTCATGCAGAAAACAAGGGCTCGAATGTTCCGCTGCGTGTGCTAACTGTAGAGGACAAAGCTGTTGTAATTCCTCACAACTAGATTTCAGTGAAGGAGATRAATGAGAGGTCAAATGAAGGCATAATTTCCTCGAAATGMGWGTGATTATAACGCTTATGATGTATATGTAGGTTCTTAAACGTCTGTTAATTATAAGCAGAGTCTGTACATTTTTTAACTTATTCTCGTTATTTTGTGGCCAATTTGATTGGGAAGCAAAGTGTATAAAATATGTTTATATATTTTTTACTTCTGTAGTAACTTAACTTTAGCACACTATATCACTTAAAAGTGTTTTTTTTTTTTTAAGTTGTGGGTACCCTGTGGTAAATTCGTTATTCGACATTTGACCATGCTCTACGGAAGAAATGTTTCCAAAAATTTCATGTGTAACTCAAACAACCCCTATCTATTATTTGACAGGAAAAGAAATTAGTTTAAAACGTTTTTTACCTCAAATACTAAGATAACTAAAMATTTTCTCGTTGTGGGAACCCTGTGGTAAATGTCGATTTAAATTATGCCCAGTTTGACTATGTTCCACCACAGGAATTTTTGCGAATTTTTAGTATGTTACTTAGCTAACCTCTATCTATTGTTRAGCAGTGAGAAAAWTTMTTTTACAATTTGTTTGACCTTAAATCACAGGATGACTGGACTACTAGTTTCATTGATAATTTATATAAGACAGTTTTAAAAAATTATCGAAAATTTTGTATGTTCCACATCGACTTTCAGCAGTCAGACAGACAAATACTTCCAAATTTCGATCGTTTCTTTTACAATGATTGTTAGTGGAAATAGATTCTTTCTAACTGGGAATTGACATGTGTGTAGGAGAAGCTACAATTTTCAAGGAATGCAATCCATTTTTCGCCAAAAATGGTTGATTTTAGCGAGATTTCCTAAATTGGAAAACCCCCTTTTAGTTTGGAATACGTTTACCATAGAAAAGAAAAATATCCAAAGAAATATATCTATTGCAACTACATTATAAATGTTCAGATAACAAGGCATTTTCAAATACGTAAACATGTCCAAAATGTGAGTTTTAGTGTCCAGTGCGCAGATGAAAACCGAAAACAAAAAGGAATGTGATTCGCTGAAATGAGTTATGATTGACATGTGGCAAGGAACATTAGCTGGTCTTCATCAGGGTCAAACAAAGCTCTTGGTTGGGCGTAAATAAGGAAACTGCTATTCCATCGAGTTGGGGGAGTAAAACTGAATTGAACATCTCGGTACTGTAACATGAAGTTAACAGTTGGAATTTTGTTAACTTTGTATACTATCGCTGATTGTAAAGGTGAAAAAATCTTGTCAATCCCACATCGAGGAGAACTAGATAAAGCGGGAATATATTTTGCAAGTGTTGAAGGTTGGTCTGTCTTCCAGATATAGAGTGTTAATGCTGTTTGCACATACATATACAATATTAATTTATATTTAATTAGTGTTTTGCTAGTGGTCACACAGAATTAATAGAAATATATCCGAATTGCTATTACTCTAAAATCGTGAAAGAAGCTGTCGAGAAAAACTATGCACAACAAGTTTGTCTTCACAGCTGTTTTAAAAGGGGTAACACATTTTTTTACGATTTCTTTTTTGCTTAAAAACTCCTCCATTGCGCGCTTAAAGCCAGCCCAGACATGAACAGACATGAATTGTTAAGTTTTAACTGTCTGGGCTGGCTTTAAGCGCAAAATCATTCAACTCAGCTAACAAACACAAGCTTTTTCTTTTTTTTGTTCATCATATGCTGCCTTTGAAGTCCGTTGATCATTCCGTCAAGCGTAAGACTTTTCAAACGCTTTTTTCCTTTTTTTGAAAAGCGATAGTTGATGCGATAGTTGATGATAACAATGGAAATAATTTTTTTTTTCCTCAACTATTTTTTGGGATTGTCCAATGAAACAGGAAGAGCCAGCGGGGTCTTTTCTTCTAACAGTGTTCTAAATATAACTGTTCTCACAAGCAAATGTGGCACTCTTCCGCTTTAAAATAAGTTTGTTTTCTTTGTTTGTTTTCTTTTTTGTTTTTTTAAAATATATTATTTTTTCATGAAATTTTATAAATGTCATACATGGTTAGTGTTATACTCAAACGGTTTCTTGAAAAGTCGTCTTGGCCGTAGACTAATGAAATGCGTCGCGTTTATTAAATGTAAATTAAGGATAAAGTTTCTTTTCGAAGACCCACTCGGTGATATTAGTAGTTAATAATTCACGGCTTGGTTTTAATGATCTGGACATCTCAACATGCATGAGTGTCATATTGACATATCGTCAAGGTTGATGACTGTTCTGAGGGAATCAGTCTGAAATATACACCCTTTTAATAAGTCCCGAGGTATTGTGTTTTCCGCACTTGACGTCAAATCTATTCTTTTGAAATCCATTTTGTATTATAAAAATTTCAAAAGAATAATTTTGACGTCAAGTGCGGGGAACTCAATACCTCGGCACTTATTAAAAGGGTGTTTATATATGTTTTATAATTTAACAGGTGACCATATTTGTTATGAAGGGATATGAATTTTATCTTGTTTTTTTTGCGTATTATTTTCAGTTGGCAGGTGTAATAGACTTAATAGACAGAGCTCACGCAGTACGCTTCTAATTTCTAGTAATACTCGTTTCAGACCAGAGGCCAGAGTATAAAATGCAACGCGTAAATTTGTCTTCGGGCTTCCATGGCTAGCTAACGAGATTGCGTAAAGGCTTTCAAATCTCATCGTTCAACGCCACTCTGATAGTCTTTCGTTGTTTATACTAATACTGTGAGAAAACTGGATCGTGGCAAATTACCACAGTATCAAAATCAGACAGTTTGCAACAAAGTGCGATGTCATCAAGTAGACTAACCACCTCTATAAAACCATGACCGCTTCAATCTTCATCTAGGAATACTTTTGCGTGAATATCATTATTTTCTTTTGTCCAGAAGAGACAGAATCCCTTATCAAATTCGAAATTTGAAAATTTAGGCTATCCAACCCAGACTCAGACAGCCAGGTTGCAGCTTCATTCTGATACGAAAGTATCGGTTTATATCTCGCCAAGGAAAATGCACTATTTCATGACGGACGTGTAACTATAATCGCTCATAATAGAGCTCATTCTTTGAGATTCCCACCCTTTTGTTATTACACATTCATTTTAAGTGTACGAGTATGAATTGGTTTAATTAGGTCATAATAAAGGTTGGTGTAAAAAAGACTATGAGGGTGAACGATGAGGTTTGATAGCCCTTACGCAAGCTCGTTGGCTAGCTAGTCGCATGCAGTCATGTTTGCAGTGCTGTGCGTAAATGTGTGACTCTGTCTACGCGTTTTTTTTTCTTTAAAAAGATTTGTCCAAACCTATTTATGATTCGTTTCGTCGATTATAGTAAGCCAGCACATGCAATTTTCAACACATTTAGTGTCACGRGTCAACCCTTCTGTCAGGGTCTAGTTRAATTTACAACTGTAAATTMGTGTATTTTGCAATGCTTTTCACATTTTATGTCTTACTTCAAGGTACATCAGCGAAGAATATCATCAAGACTACTACAGCAATCGATTCCTTTGCATGTCTTACTGACTGTCTGTCACACCCCACCTGTCAATCAATCAACTTTCAAAAGAAGGGRAGTCCCAAGCACCTTTGCGAGCTCAGTGAAAGTGCGGTCGTACCCAGTGCAAAGGACCAGGAGCCAAGGCCAGGCTACATCTTCTTCTATCCAATTCAGATAAATAGTGGAATCAATATAGAAGTAAGATGTTTGAAGACAATAATTTAAAGAATTAAAATAGATCAGAAAAACGAAATGAAATGACTGGTCGTAAAAATATTCCAGGAATGTTTAAAACATGGCAGAACTGGAAAATGTATATATTCAATTCTTAATATCAGACCTCATTCTAATTGGTGATGATGAAATTAAGAGTTCTATGTCTACTGTAGTTTTGATTCTGGTAACTGATTGTCCCGTTGTTTTAATCCGTAGATAAACAGAGTTTCATCGTGTAAAGATATCGCACGGTTACAAAGGTTTGTTTCTTTTAGTCTATTTGACCCGGGGGGATGTTTGGCTTCATACAATTGTCAAATTGCTAAAAAAATCATAGTAGACAAAATGAAATCTGTGCACTACAGTAAAAACCCGCGTATAAGAACAASTGGATTAAGAATAGCCAGTCCTGATTTTAGGAAATAAAGTACCATTTATACTAAGAACACATTCAGCCTGAAAAATGAAAATTGTTCTTATATGGAAACATATCAAATATCAACACTACATTTCATTGCACACATTTATYTATTATGAWTTYTTTTAAATTGAAATAGTTACATCATTGTATTGATTAATTAAAATTGTGTGCATACATATTGATTTAATCTATTAGTAGCCTAGTATTTTCCTTATTTTAAGAAACTTTAATTTTTTTAAGGACAATTAAGAACACTTAGAGGCTGATTTTACAGATTATAACCCCTTATATAAGAACCAAATCAGCCTGAACCGCCAAAATAGGTGTTATTTGATCAGGTTTTTACTGTATCGTGTTGCAACTTTACTAGATTTGATATCTTTTTACTGAASTAYAYTTTCTCTAATTTTCTAGCGTTCGTGAAAACAAGGCCTACACWATAAAGATCGATAACAAACTCACAAGAATCTACTGCCATTTGACTRATGACATATGTCAAGGTGGGGGRTGGACGCTGGCCATGAAGATTAATGGCTCAAAGGTATTATTTTAAATTCATGCAATATGTCATATGTTGTGTAAAATAGGAGCTCTCTTATTCAAAAACRAAACATTTTAACTATTATATGTTATTCCTAAAGTGTTATATGTTTGACAACGTTTCCGGTCAARTTGCTAAGCATAATTTTTGGCAATCCGTTACCTTAATAAGCATTATTGGCGATCTGCTTGTTTTTATTCACATGTTATTCAGGTACTGTCGTTATCATTGTCTTTGCCA